GTAACGGAATCGAGCCGTGGTGCTACTCCTATATAAGAGACCCGCGACGAAGCCGTCGTAGTACTTGCATATCCACACGCATACATCGATCCATTCGCCTGCCTTGCCCGGTGTATGTATATGTCGACAATGGAGGTGGCGAAGCCCCGGCAGGTGGCGCGGAGGTTCCAGGCGCGGCCGCAGCACGAGGGCGCCGGCGCCGTCGTCCGCCGCAGCATCGGCAGGTTCGAGCTGAGGTATTTCGATCCGTTCCTCGTCCTGGACGAGTTCTCAGGTCAGCCCCCCCGCCGCTTCCTCCTCCTCCCTCGGTTCGTTTCGGCGATGGTCGTTAATCGATTCCTTCCTCGTCCGAATTTGCTGCATGCAGCTTCTGCGCCGGCCGGGTTCCCTGACCATCCACACCGGGGCTTCGAGACCGTCACCTACATGCTCGAGGTACGCACGCATGCATTTCTGTTGCCGTCGATCGCGCGCACTTGTTCTTGATGTGCTAGCTAGTAGCACTGCTAGAAAACTGCCAAATGAACCTAGCAGTATGAACATCCGCAGAGCACACACCAGAATACATTGGCATCCTGAACCCTTTCTTACTTAAGTCCCATTGCGCAGAGATGTAACGGTAGTGGCACCTTTGACGACCAAACATGCAACGGGGAACAAGCGCGTTCCGTTTGTCAAACTTAACTGCAACCTGGAACCTTTTTTTGCAACTTGGAACTTTTCTTGCCCTTCACTCAAACAAGCCCTCTGAACGCGGGTCCTGCTTTTGGTAGCCTGGCATCGATCTCTCCCTAGTACGCCAACCACCCCCTGTGCTTTCGTGCAATGAGAACGAAGTCTTCTGAAAACCGTGTGAAATTAAGTACTGGTAGGAATGTTCACGGGACAACGATGGCGCGCATACACTAGTAGATTTGTTGGCAAACCGCCCTGACCTGACGACCCTTTCCTCTGGCTGGCTGGCTGCAGGGGGCGGTGACGCACGAGGACTTCGAGGGCCACCGTGGCACGATCAAGGCCGGCGACGTGCAGTGGATGACGGCCGGCCGCGGCATCGTGCACTCCGAGATGCCGGCCGGCCCCGGCACCTCCAAGGGCCTCCAGCTCTGGGTCAACCTCGCCTCCAAGAACAAAATGTGCGCACTCTATTGATTTCACCTTGCTCTCTCCCGTCTGACCACGTCACGTGCGTCTCGATGACTAACACGTGCGATCGACGATCCAGGGTCGAGCCCGGGTACCAGGAGTTCCAGAGCAAGGACATCGCGTCCACCACGTCGGCGGACGGCGACGTGACGGTGCGCGTCATCGCGGGGGAGGCCATGGGCGCCCGGTCGCCGGTGCGCACGCGGACGCCGACCATGTACCTCGACTTCACGGTGCGCCCGCACGCCACCGCGCCCGTGCGGCAGCCGGTGCCGGCCTCGTGGAACGCCTTCGTGTACGTGCTCGAGGGCGAGGGCGTGTTCGGGCCGATGACAGACCAGAAGCAGCAGGCGGCGCAGCCGGCGGGGGCGCACCACCTGCTGTTGTTGGGGCAGGACGGCGACGGCGTGGAGGTTTGGAACAGGTCGGACAAGCCGCTCCGGTTCGTGCTCGTGGCCGGCGAGCCCATCGGCGAGCCCGTGGCGCAGCTGGGCCCGTTCGTGATGAACACCGAGGAGGAGATCGACGCCACCGTCAACGACTTCGAGTACTTCATCAACGGGTTCGAGAAGGCCAAGCATTGGAAGTCGCAGGCCATGATCGCGCTAGAGCTAGAATACGTAGGGTGAAGGAAAGAATGGGAGGACAAACTGTGAAGAACGTACTGTGCGCAGGTTATTTATTTGTTTATTTATTTCTTTCTTTCATCCCGACATCAGTGATTGCTTTCATGTACATATTCCATAACATAAAGGTACAGTATACTGATTCTAAAAAAACAGTATACTGAATTATACTCCTACTACTCCCCCTCCGTTTTTCTCTCGTTCCTGGGGCTGGAACCGTGGCCGCCGTCAGGAGAGGCCAATCTTCCAGCGCCGTCCTCCGGTGACTCCCCTCCATCGGCGACCTCGATTGTCGGTGGTGAGGGGGGTCGCCGGATCCACGCGGGTGCACCGCTTTTTACTTTCCCGTAATCTAGGTTTTTAGATTGTTCATTGTCTTGGCTTTGGTGACGGCAATGACGGCATTGAATAAAGATTTTTTGGTTCCTTTCCTAACGAGGCCATTCTTCGTATGGTTGGGAATGGATTTGGAAACAAGTTTGTTCAAGTAAGGATGGCATGGCGGCGGCATCCTCGTGGTGGACCTGTGTCCTTGGGCACCGCTGTTGCGATGACATTTGCTCCAGCGTCGGCGCAGAGCTTGGGAGGTAGTCCAGGATTGGATACATATTGTGGTATGCATCGACGACATCTGGAACACGGAACGTGTGCTGGGTTCATGGTTTGTGGATGGCAGGTACGATTTCCTCCTTCGGCGTCTTAGTCGTGGTGGGATGCCAGATCTGGAGTTCGATGGCGTGTCGGGGGTGTTGCCTCGGTCTGATTGTTCAATGCCAAGGGCTTCACATTTGGTGAGCCATCTTTGAGGTCCGCAAAGCTGCATATCAGCGATGGAGCCGCGTCGAGCTCAAGTGAGGAGGTGATCCGTCATTTTTTTTTTCTTCGGTGACGAGCGTTGGTGTCAAGCTCAGAGCTGTTCTGCTATCTTTTCAGTTTTGTCATGCCGGTCCTTACGTGACTTGTACTTTGTTCTTCATGATATGAATGAGACACGTATTACCATGCAAAAAAATACTATGGATACCTATGTATAGAGGAGAAAAGGATGGATCGTATGTCGGACTGTATTTCCTTTGCCACGGATACCATGGGCACCCATTCTACACGAAAGTGAATGCGGGTGTGCAACATGCACCCATGTTTGATATCCCAAAATTTCAGAATTTATTGATTTTTTTTATTTTTTAATGCTATACTCATATAGGGGTGTGTGACATCTGAGAGCTACAATGCATTTTCTGGCTTCATCGTTTATATACTGAATGATAAGGTGGAGTGGCCCTGCCTGCGAGCTATTATGCTCAAGCTTGGTTTTACTGAGAGGTGGGTGGACATAGTTATGGGCTTGGTTAGCTTAGTAAATTTTTCAGTGTTGTTCAATGATAAGAAACTGAAGAAATTCAAACCTTTGTCTGGTATTCGACAAGGGGACCCAATATCCACATGTTTGTTCTTGATTGCGGCAGATAGCCTTTTGTGGCTCCTAAAATCTAGAAGTGCGTCATCAAATATCCATGATCTGCAAGTGGCACCTTTGGCGCCACCGATAAGCTATTTATTATTTACAGATGACAACCTGCTATTTTTCAAGTCAAATGGTGTGGGTCTGAGGTGAACTATGTCCACTCCACCTTATGTTGATTATTTACTATCAGGCTATAGGGCAATGTATCAATTATGACAAGTCTTATATTTTCTTCAGTAAGGATGCTCCAGATGCAGTCAGGGGTGAAATAAAAAGGCCTGTTAAATGTCCCTAATGAGACTCTAAATGAGAAATATTTCGGCATGCCTTCTGACATAGGATCATTGAAAATGGTGCCTTTAAATACTTGAAGGGCCGTTTGTGGAGCAGGATCCAAGGATGGATAGAGAAGTCTTTATCCTCGGCATGGAAAGAAGTCCTGGTTAAAGCGGTAGCCCAGACCGTTCTAATGTATTCTATGCCATGTTTCAAATTACCAAAAGGGCTTTGTGAGTACCTTAACATGTTGATAAGTAAGTTTTGGTGGGGCAGTAAAGATGAACACCATAAATCACACTAGCTATCGTGGAAAGTAATGACAAAACCGTAGGCGGACTTGGATTTAAAGATTTTGAAATTCTTAAATTTTTCCCGTGGCGTCTACTGCAGCAGCCATACTCATTGAGCGCTCGTGTGCTAAGGAGTATTTATTTTCCAAATTCATCTATTTGCATGCAACCCTTGGCAATCATCCAATCCAGACTTGGAGAGCCATTGTGGAAGAGGGAGATGTACCGAAGCAGGATCAAACACATTGGCAACGGGGCAACTACAGACATATGGGAAGATAATTGGCTTCCGCATGATGAGGTGTTGAGACCTTATGGATGCTTGGTCTCTGATCCGCGGACCTTGGTGTATGAACTCATCGACACACCGGCGGTTCGGCGGCTGCATAGAACAAACAACGCGTGGAAGAAGTTTTTATGCCCATGAATGTTCCTATTATCTTAGGAATACCGCTGTGCACGAGAAATATGGAAGACTTCTGGAGCTAGAATTTCGAAAGGAGTTGCAGCCTTCTTTGTAAAATCTGCATATAGGATGCTTGTGTCAACTAAATAAAGGCGTGAGGCGTGGCTTGAAGGGACTGCAGGTCATCTAGTACAGGTATGGAGGAGAAGGCGTGGAAGTTGCTCTAGAATATTCAAGTCCCAGCAAAAATTCGGATATTCATGTGGCAACTGGTCAAACATTTCTTTCCAACAGAGGATGTCAGAGCCCATAGACATATGACAACCTCCAGTTCATGCGGATTATGTGGCAGTCAGGACTACGCCGCTTATTAAAGTGGCATGTTGCTCCAGGCCGGCTCGCGGTGGACCACGACGGCACAAGCATCTTGCTGCTCGCGTCATCCGTCGTCAACTTGTGCGTGATCTCGCCCCGTCGGTGGAGATCGGCAACGCGGCGTCTAGCACGTCTGCACCCGCTGCCATCATCGACGAGAAGTACAACACGGGAGGCCGCCGCCACGTGGGTCCCATGAAGGCCACCGCTGAGGCGACGCCAGTGTACACAACCGGTGGCTTGCCCGATTCATTGCAGACCAACGTCGACCCCCGCCCGGGCTTCACGGATGAGGAGCCCCCAATACCCTTTGGCTGAAGTATCCTCTTTGTCATTCCGATGAGCGTCGCAGTCGGACATAGGAAAGATACGATGGGAAAATATACCGACGAGGCTCAGGGCAGTACGATGAGCGAGCTGCCAGACATAGGGAAGACTATTAGATCCGTTGCGGCCAGCCGTAGACCAGTGTAGTGTATCTGTGTCGTTGGAGTGGAGCTCTGTGCGGCCGGACGTGCATATAGTTTTAACTATTTTAGTTAAAATATGTCCAAAATATAATGAATTTCTTTCGGTTTATACAAAATCCACTGAGTTTGCATGAGTTTCATCCGGTTTGTTGAAAAAGTGTTTGAATGTATGTGTATAGCATTGGATTGCGGCCTTCTGCATATGTGTCAAAGACTGCACCCCCTCTCCCCTCCCCCGAGTCCGCGGATGAATGCAGGAGAAAATTTAATAATTGTCGTTGGAGATGCCCTAAAGGTACGTGCCTACTTGCAAACTCAGATAGAGGTAGTAGCTCCATTGATGCCTTCTTCCACCCACAAACTTTTTATTCTTTGCATATCGAAAGCAAGCCACATCAGGATTGTGAGTCTAATGGTCTTTGGTAAATCGGGTCTCTATACATGTGTCTATGTGTTTATTTAAGTAGTGTGTATGATGTACCATTGGATCTTCACGTTTACTCGTCGCTCCATATTTCAAAGGTATTATGATGTTATTTTAAACTCTTTGGCATATCTCTCATTGTTTCTTGCCCTGCATGATGGGGTGCCCAAAGAGTATAAAGCCAATAGGACGGATGTACGACTCCATTCTCCTAAAGCAAACTTTTTTTAAATAAAGCGTCCTTGAGTTCTAGTTATTGCATATTTAAATGAATGAATCAAGCATAAAAAAAGAAAAAAAGAAAATATTTCCACAAATCTTAATGTAAGATCAATGATATATGACTTAGATGTGTTATACTTATGGCACATCTAGACGTACTTTAGCAAAACTGTTTTAATAAATACCTGGGTTTGGACCAATGGGAAATGACACATTACTTAATGTCTAGTGTTACTTTAAAAATCTTTTTTTGATGGGTTAGAGCAAATCCAATGGGGCGACCTATTCGTCCGTCCGCGTCCGTTTGGGTCGGCGCGGACAAAAGTGACGGTCTAACATGCCGATCCAAACAGACGCGCGTACGTTTTTCGTCCGCGGGCGACCCATTCCAGGCCCAATTTTGAGCTGGATTTGCGTCGGCGCGAAAACGAGACGGACGCGCGCGCGCCTACTCCTTTCCCCGGACCCGCCGGTCGGTGGCAGCCACCACC